TGCCCACCACAGAGCTTTGTCCTGTGGCGAATATTTTCGCTTCTTATTTATTAGCCCAATAGGAAGAAGATGAAGGGATGTACCCTCACCTTGAATGTCAGCTTGTTATAGTTCTGCACTCTCAACTTGAAGCTGCCTTTATTAGCTTACATCCATGCCAGTCTTCTCCGCAAATATTTGGACCCATGGTTTCCTGTGGTTTAATTTCCCCAGTGATCAAATCTTACTTATGTCTGTCTTTGTGATTCTTCTGCATTTCTGATGCATTGATGACACTCTTGATGCTCTTTCTAGGCATTTATAACTTTATTTTGTTTCTTAAGTATCTATTTTTTATTGTTATTTACATGGAACTTTTAGAAGAGTGGTAGGATTCATACAAGTACTGAGTCTGCCATCTTTAGTCAATATCTCTAATTCTTTAAGAATAAAAATTAAATTTAGCCATCTTTATGTTAGGTTCTTATACTTCGAAGAACTACTGTAAATACAGTTACCTTTACCAATACAAAGGAAAATATAAGCGTATTTTGTTATTATCCCAAGTTCTGCCTTAGAAACAGCTGGCTCTCAAAAGGACAATTATATAAAATACAGTGTTCAGTGAGAACTGAAGTGCCAATATAGATACAAATGAATAACTTTGTGTTTGATAAAGATTCTTTCTCACCCTACAGGAGATATGCTTCCAAATTTGATAATAGTTTTAACAATGAGCTATGGATATACTCTTTTCACTTTTGTACAAGCATAAAGCCTTGTAGCAGGGTTTATTGGAAGGAGCATGGTTTGGGAACTGGAAATATTAATAATTTCTATTTTGTCCAATCAAGTTTTCTGACTTTCCATCAACTTATCTATAAAAATTTGATAGAAATATCTATAACACTTGGAAAATTATAAATTATAGTACAAATATAAAGGTTGAAAAATAAAGATTATGACATTGCAGAAGACATAATACTATTTTGTGGGTCTTTTTAGATTTAACTCACCTCTTACTACACTCCGTTCTCCAAAATGATTGTGTCCTTATGGCCTGGTATTTTCTATCACATCTAGCCATTTGTTCAGAAAGCAAAATAAAGATGGTAAGGCAAACGACAAATTAAGTCTACAGATAAATAAAGATACATCCTATTGCAATGCTTTTGTTTTTGAAATATCAAGTCAGGCTTCATTTTCTGGTTTAGTTAAAATGCTGTGGGAAGCTTCTCTGAGACTAGAGGACATTGACCTTTGGAAGGTGTTGGCTGCTCCTGAAGAAAGCTCCTGGCTGTTTAAAGGAATGGGGTGGAGTGGAAATACACCCAGACAGGAAACCTCGCAGGTGGGGAGAAGAAGAGGGCCACGCCCAAAAGCAAGTCAATTCATTCACCTATCAGATCTTTAATTCTAAGTAGGCCTCTGAACTCAATTGGCCCTCTCAGAAACATGTACGTTACTGACCTTGTATATCGGATCTGGGTTAATGTTTATGTCATGCACAAAGAAATAACTCTGAGTACTTTAAAAAAAAAAAAAAAAAAACTAGCACTTCCTTTTTGCAGGGGAGTTGCAAGTACTTAATTTATAAAATTTCTATTGAGCATGAAGATTATTCCCTAGAAGGAAGCCTTTTCTGACCCCACAGAATATATTAGAATCCCTGTGTCTTGCTCTCAAAGCATTTATCTCAGTGAAGAGACAGCTGCCCATTTCTACATAGGTACAAATTCTGAATCCCTGAGTCAGGAGGCAGAGAGGTTAGACAGGATGAAGTATTTTCTGACCTTCTCTTAGGTGGCCATGACAATGCATCCACACGTGGCATGGGCTGGGAAGCCATGGGCTGTTTTTTTAAGCCAACGCCAAGTTCCCTATGACTAAAGGACACTGCTACTATATATAGTCTGGCAACCTACTGGCCCTAGTTTTCCATATCATGGGTCAGGGTTTTTGTCATCAGTGGTGTTTTGGAGGGAAGCTAGGTATGACCGAAATTACTCTGAAGTCTCTGTCTAGGGGAGTGGGTGAGATCCGAGGCCGACCAGAGTTCAAGTCACGCACCTTTCTGGGCCTGATTCTCCTCATGGGTCGAGTGGGTGTTTGAGCTCTAAAACGGCAGTCGCCAATCTTTTTGGCACCAGGAACTGGTTTTGAGGAAGACAATGTTTTCCACAAAAAGCCAGGTGGGGTGAAGGGGTATAGTTTCAGGATGAAACTGTTCCACCTCAGATCATTAGGCATTAGATTCCCATAAGGATCACATAACCTAGACCCCTTGCATGCGTAGTTCACAATAGGGTTTGCACTCCTAGGAGAGTCTCATGCCACTGCTGATTTGACAGGAGGTAGAGCTCGGAGCTCAGGTGGTAATTCTCACTCACCCGCTGCTCACCTCCTGCTGTGCGGTTAACAGGCCACAGACTAGTACTTGTCTGCAGCCCAGGGGTTGGGGACCCCTGCTCTGTGATTGTAGTGGCGCCTCTAGCCCTGGTGCCCTGCGCATCTTGTGGTTCCAAATCTGAAATTAATTTTAATTTTATAGACAGAATATTTTGGTTCTTGTCTCCTTCTCTCCAAAACCAACTGCTACTTTATTTTGGGTAAGATTTCTCATAAAACCTAAAATTATAATTCTCTTCATAGTCCGGAAGTAGTACTTACACACCTACTTCTCTCTTTTCTCGTGATAGAAAGAGTTTACAGGTTATCATTTCAAATAAGGCTTTTAAAATTATAAATAGAGAAACAACATTTGGGGATATAGAATAATTCACAAAGCAGTAAACAGTCTGAAAAAATGTATTGAATCAAAGAAGAAATAGTTTGATAATGAGTTTTCTAGAATTATATAATCTTGTAGCCTCAAAAATATGTCTCTTTCCCTGTGAGAAAGACATATAAAGAGTATAATTGATTATCAGAAACTTGGAGCTTTAAATTTTAACAAAACCTACATCACAGCTACTTAAAGAAAATGCATTCAAGGTGAGACTTCTAAATGTAGAATTGCCCAACCATCCTTCAAATTCAGACAGTATATGCTTACGAACACTCTTTCCTACAAAAAAAAACTACAGTTTTTCCCCCAATAAATGATGCTATTGTCACCAAAGACCAAAGGATGAAGTGATGGAACAGTCTGTGGCTTGGGTGTAGCCATCTGCCATCAAAACCTGCCTATTCTCTATATTATCTTCTGCAATGAACCAGCGCAGAGAATGAGTGGGCAAAGCAGTAGCATAAGAAGGTCATCCACAAAGGCACTCCCCATGGTTTCCTTGTTCCTTCAGGAAATCAGCTCCATTTAATAACGGAAAGGAGAGCCAAGTGCTCCAAGAGCATAGGAGGGAGAATGAGAACGCTCACTCCCAATTATTCAGTGACTCCTCATTACCTGCAGGATAAATGATGAGCTCTTCCTGCAAATGCTTCGGGTGCTCAAGTTCCCACTGTCTGTGCCCAGCTGACATTGCAGCCTCACCCACTCTGTAGGGAGTCATTAGGGGATGGGGTCAGAAAGGTAACCTAAAGCCATATGAGTCAGGACGTCAAATCAGGAGTGAGGTCGGAGCCATTGTAAGTTCTGAGCAAAGAGTGACAGCATACGTGTTATATTTTATTCTTATTAATTCTTCCCAAATGCACTCCACGTTCCCAGCATACAAACCCACTCTCCTGAGAACTCCCCAAGCATCCCTGCCCATAACAATCTCATTCTGCCCTGATGTCCATCACCAGGGACTCTCCTACATAAAGCTTCCCTGATTCCTCGAACAAGGTGGGACTCTCCCTCCTACTCTAATCCCACGAATGTCCAAAGTGCTTGGCTTAGACCACAGTTATTGCATTTTCTGCCTTGGATTAACTTTCTTCCTGTTTGCTCCAAGGCTACTTGCAGGAGAATCTTGAGTCTGCAGCATTTATCCTAAGAAAACTTTGCCATGAACTATTAATATCTCACTTGTATCATTTTCTCATTGCTCCAGTATATCAACTTTGAAAACAAAAGACATCATTCTGTTTATAGCATTCTTTTTTTAGTAATGGTAATTCCACTTACATAATTTATCTCTAGCTCACAGAAAATGTCAAATCCTAGAAAACGTAGCACTCCTATGTGTGATGTTAGCATCATTCTTGAACAGCTATTGGCCAACAATTCATTTGATGAATCTGATTTTTCCTAAATAGATTATTCTGATGCAGATGATTCTGATGTTAGCTCCATTTAGAACTAACTCCAAGAACAGTTTTTATATTTTATTTTCACATTGAAAATCAGTCAGATTTGCTTCAGCCTCAAAGAGCATGTTTATGTAAAATTAAATGAGGGCCAGCAATGAGCTGTACTTTTTTTTCCAAACTGGAAGAGGGAACTATTAAGAGTCAAATGATAACATTAGACATGTCTTGCTTTAAGCCTCAGCTAGATTGCAGAACTCTTTAGTCATGGATTACACTTTATACAGCAACTCAGTGTTGTTACCTCAGCTGTGAGAGAGGCCTGCTGCCTCCACGAGCTCCACTGATCAGTTTCCAAGCCCTGGACCATGTAACAGCCAGCCACCCCCCAACAGCAGTTTTGCCAGCAGGTCCAACAGTTCAAGTTCATCCCAACTTCTAAAAACACAGTGAGTGGATATATTCATGTTCAAAAAAGTTGAAAACACATGATCATCTCAACCATTTTTTTCCAACGAAACTGCTTTGGACATAGACACCTGTGTTACCCTTAGAGAAACGGCTGGGATTTGTTGTCACCACTTGCTCTCGTGCTTGTATTGCACTGACATCTTTGTTACCCCTATTCATCACATGTTTCCATTCCCCCACTAAAAGGCATATTCTTCGGCCTCACAGATTTACTTCCCTCACCTACTGACCTTTGCTCAAAATGTATCTGTTAGATGTATCATTTCCATAGCTCTTCCAGATCTTCTTCTCTTCTTCAGTTGTAAGTGAAATCCAGAAAGCAAAGAACCAAAAATAACCTTCTACCTTTGTTCTAACAGGATTTTGTACCACTGTATCAAGACTTTGAAAATTTTTATACACGAAACCTTTACATGCGAATCAGAGACAACTGGAACCGGCCCATCTGCAGTGCCCCAGGGGCTCTGTTTGACGTGATGGAGAGGGTGTCGGATGACTATAACTGGACATTTAGGTGAGCGCGCCACTTGGGGGGCTTCGGGAAAAGAAAATCCTTTCAAGGAAATCCTAGCATGGGCACTAGATGACAAATCTGAAAAAAACAAGGCATGGAAGCCGTTGGTTTTGTATCATTTATGCCTTTGCAAGCCCTCCTGATGCCAGGGGAAGAAAGCACAGTAAAGTAATTAAGCAGCTGCCAGAGTGACTTTTTGGATTGTAATTAACCTAAGACCTGTGTCAGAAGGTGCAGAACACACCAAGCCAGTCAGGAAGACCCCTTTCAGATTTATTGACAAATTCTACTCTCCTACTTCTAGCTGAATGAGACAGTGATGACTATGGTTCTCGTTCCGTTAGAAGGCTCTTGCTGGAATTTAAACCAGAGCATAAGTGTCATGGAAATAAGTGCCCAAGGAAAATCAGGGCTAAGTAACAATCCATGGCTCAAGATGTCTTTCTCCAACGCTCTGCCCAACTTCATCATGGGTTTACCTTTCTCTTAGGGAAAACCATTTTTTGGTAACAACTTTTTTGATGCATAATAGATGTACATTATTTTGGAGTACATATAATAATTTAATACATTCATATAAACTGTAAAGATCAAATCAGTGTACTTGGGGCATCCATCATCTTAAATATTTGTTTTTTTTTATGACAGAATCATTTAAATTATTTTCTTATAGCTATTTTAAAATAGACCATACATTATTTTATAAACCACAGTCACCCTACTGATCTGAGTTTTATTTCTTCTATCAAACCGTATCTTTGTACCTGTTAGTCAACTTCTCCCCCTCCTCCCTACCTTTTCTAGCCTCTGGTAACAACCAATCTACTCTCCCTTCATGGGATATGCCTTTTTAGCTCCCATGTTATAGATTTAAAAAATGTGATATTTGACTTCTGTGCCTTGCTTATTTCATTTAATATAAAGGCCTACAGTTCTATCCAAATTGCTTCAAATGACAAGGTTTTCTTTTTTTTTTTTCTTTATGGTGACAACAGTGCAAGTTAATAAGAAAGAAAATACATGATTTGGGCCAGACCTAAGGCCTCTCCAGCACTAGGATAATTTTTTTTTTTTTACATTTGAAAAATAAGACTTTATTAAATCAAACGAATGGGTATATCTGTTTCCTAAGAAAGACGATGATAATGAACTTGGTGGAAGGAATAATAGCGGGTAGGAGTTTGCTGATTTTGCTTTTAGCCTCATGGTAGTTGGTAGAGAATCTGGGAATGATTAGCTTTTTTTTTTTGTTTTTTGTTTTTTTTTTTAATGTGACTGCTTATTCACGGCTGCAGCTTCAGTTCTGAGTTGATGCTTGAACTGCCAGCAGTATCCATTATTCCAAATGCGGTCCAAAGAGGGCGGTCAGCTTGCACTGGTCCTGGAGCTGTGATCAAAGTTGGCCCCAACTCAGCTTGGGGAAAGTTTCTTCAACTTTTTCCTTTTCTTTAATAAATTCTTTATAGAACGGTCCTGTTTGTTGGTTCCCAGAGATGTATCCTTCATCTTGGATCATCCAGGGAGGTGTGGTACCTGAGTGGATGTTACCAACTCCTGGTATATCCTGATGACCAATGAATATCAGAGATTGTCCTGTCTCCATCCAGTCAAGTCCTGGAGCTGTGGCAGGTCCAAGTTGGAGGGCTGCTGTGAGCTGGAAGCTACTTGGCTGTTCATCCTTTTCCAGCTTCCAGGGACTGAAGAACCCTCTTCTGGGTCTGGCACTGGCTGAGGGGGTCTGGATCCTCTGAGGGAAACCAACCTCTAGGACAGACTGAACCACCTCTTGCCAGTTCTATTCTACCTCATGGATCTGAGCTGTCATCTCCTTGGTCACCTCATTCTCTTTTTCTTCATAGGAACCCAAACCTTCCATCAGGGATTTTTTGAATCATGCATAACCCTGGGGAAAGGATTGTGTGCTCATTTACATGTTTCCCTGCAGGTTTACTGGAAGAGTCATCAAAGATGTCATCAACATGGGCTCCTATAACTTCCTTGGTCTTGCAGCCAAGTATGATGAGTCTATGAGGACAATAAAGGATGTTTTAGAGGTGTATGGCACAGGCGTGGCCAGCACCAGGCATGAAATGGGTATGTACACTCACTGTTTTGAAATTTTTTCCTGTTAGGTCTCAGATTCCTTGTGTCTGCCTCTCAAATCTAGATCATATTTGGACGGTGTGCCTTAAAAACGTGTCATGCAATACAGAAAGAAAAAGATACATTTTGGGAAATTTCAAGCATTAGACTGTTGCCAGGCAGTTTATTAATTACATGTTTCAATTCTCCAGAATAGAAAAAAATAGATATTTCCTCCCCATATTATCTAAAATAGCAACACTGTGCCTCCTCTAGCTGGTCCTTTTCCACCCTTTCTTCCACTTTTCTTAATGATGCTCATCACTGGTTAAAATGATCTTGTATTTGTATTCGTATATGGCCTGTCTCTGCTCCTAAAACATAAACTTTGTGAGAAGAAGGGTTGGACTTGTGTAAAGTTGCATTGAGCAAATGAATGAATCGACCAGGTGGAGCAGAGGAGCAGACTGCCTTTTTATTTTCCTTTTAGCTAAAATGTTTTTCTTTTACTCAAAGGAGTAACATCTGTGAGAAGGAAACCCACTCCTCTTCAATTCAGGAAGAAAGAATAATGCTTGCTTGCTCTTACGTAGTGCTTTTCAATTCTTGGCATGAGGATAGAGAGAGGGAGAGAGAGGGAGAACGTTCATTTATTCAAAAAAACAAAAAACAAAACAAAACAAAACAAAAAAAACACCTGTGTAGGCAGCACAGGTGGTGTTATTCTCATCTTCTGGGGGAAGAATCTGAGATCATGGCACCTAGGTGATGTACTTAAGGAAGGTAAATAACCAACCTAATTCCCGGTCTAGCTCAGCTTTCTCTACCACAGCACTTCTCCCTCCCAGTGACACATGCAAGGTTCACCAGGTCGGTTGGGTCTGTCTAAGAATTGGAGGCAAATATGACTAAAAAGAGATTTACTATCATGTTAATGAATTATGAACCACATGTCCCTCTTAGATAACCAGTTAGCAGAGAGTTTTATAAACAATTTAATTATTTAGACTTGTGCAACAAATAATTCACATTGAACAAAGTAGGTACCTTTTTATCCCAACATTAATTGGCTAAAGCTCTAGAGTTAATAGTGGGTGCACAGATTTCTTTAAAAAAATCTTACTGGCCGGGCGCGGTGGCTCAAGCCTGTAATCCCAGCACTTTGGGAGGCCGAGACGGGCGGATCACGAGGTCAGGAGATCGAGACCATCCTGGCTAACACGGTGAAACCCCGTCTCTACCAAAAAAACACAAAAAACTAGCCGGGCGAGGTGGCGGGCGCCTGTAGTCCCAGCTACTCGGGAGGCTGAGGCAGGAGAATGGCGTAAACCCGGGAGGCGGAGCTTGCAGTGAGCTGAGATCTGGCCACTGCACTCCAGCCTGGGCGACAGAGCGGGACTCCGTTTCAAAAAAAAAAAAATCTTACTTATCTTCATTTTGAGGCATAAGGGCTGGAGATGTTAACAGGGTGGAGATGAAAATGGGAGGTTTTACTCCGCTTAGAAAAACTGGGTCACCTGTGATGCCCCATTTGGAGATGGGGCAGAGACTGAAGGAGTACCCCTAGCCATAAGGAGCACAGGGTCAGTAACCATTTGAGATATTTCCTCTGGTGCTGGTGACACCCAATACCAGGGTTGTTGACGACCAGGCAGAAGACACATTCCTAACAACAACCCCCCAACTCAAAGAGACAGCACACTCCCTAGGCAGGCGGTAGAGACGGAAGGAAAGCTGCTTGATACAGCCAATGTTCACTTACAGGGGAAGCCAGATATGGAACATGGGTCCCCGACTCTGCAGGTTTAGCAAACCCTAAGAAACTAGGCAGAAATGAAGGTCCCATTTGGTACTGCACTCAGACCAAGTTCTTTCTCCACCTACTCACCCTTCTGAATCGCCCAGTTTTTAATATTTCTCCATTTCATTTAGCTCTCCATGTCAAGTTCTAAGAAAAGGACTTTAACATTTTTCAAGTAAATAGTGAAAGACTCAGAGAGAAGCCACCCACGCTAATTTTAGGCAAATAGAATGACTGAAACATGAATATAAGCAGTCAGTCAGGAAATGAATAAATAAAGAGGGGATATTTAAAGTATTCTGCAACATTAATAATAATCTTAACATGGCATGCAAGAATTAGGAGTAGCACAATTCTGAAAGCCATTTATTCTAAGGAATATAGGTAACTTTTGGAAAACGTGTCTTAACAGAATATTTAACAGTACAAATGGGTTAACAATGAAAATTGGAAAGCTAAAAGTTCAACAATTTTTAGAAACCAAAATAGGTTCTTGAGAACCTACAAGTTTATGAACATTTAATCACTAAAAAATAACTCCTCAGAGATTTTAGAAATAGTTTTCAATATTCCAGGGGGAAAAGGAAAATAAAATCCATGTAACAAAAAAGGAAAGACAGAAAAGGAAATAACAAGCAATCACTTAAAACATAAATAACAGATATTATTTTCACACACAAAAAAATGTACCTAGAAGAGATTTGTCTATCAAAAGAAAAAGACTGAGATTTGGCCAAAAACCTAAACTCAACTATGTGCTGTAATTTTAAAATATACAATATTAAGTTAAAATTATTTCAAAGGGTGAAAAATAGAAAGATAGGTCCCACCAGGTACCTAGTGCCCACTCCCTGCTGCAACCACCAAAGGGGCTCAAAAGGGTGGTTGCGTTAGTAGAAGGAGCAGCAAAGGAAGAGCCCAGAAGGAAGGTTCGTGGAGGAAGATTGTTTGCCAAACCTGTACCTATAAATGTTAAAACCGAGACCCAAAATACAACTTGAAATGATATATTTCCAGACACATCTGTACAGAAGTGTAAATGCTGTTTTCAAGATGTGAAATTATATACTACTGCTTATTTTAGAGTAGAACTAAAAAATAGTGGAATACAAAAGTAAGGGAGGCTTGGGCTACTTTATGGGTCAATTTACATTCCACTTAAATGAAGCAACAAAAAACAAAAAAATGATATGGCAATAGGAGACTATAAAGTGTCTCCCACAGTTGACAACCATTGAGCTAGCATAACCTTGATCTCCAAATCTGACAAAAATGCATTTTAAAAAGGGAAAAGTATAAATTATTATAACTTTATACATTTTATATATAAAATAGAAATGGTATTATTATTACTTATAAAGTAATAATTAGGTTAATTACTTATAAAGTAATAAAGTAAGAAGCCAAAAATAAATAAATAAATGATATAGAAGACATTAACAATGTAATCGTTAATGATTAATTGTTAATTTAATAGTTATCTATTGAATGCTAAACCTTAAAACATATTACCACTATACCTCACCTTTTTAAATCCTCATTGAATTTTCATAAAAATCTACTATATATTACGCCACAAAGAAAATCACATGAAATTCTAAAAAGTAGAACCTACATGAGTCACATTCTCGAATCCTGTGAAATAAAGCTAAAAATTAATAACAAACTAACAGGTATAAGATTATGGGAAGCAGCTAGTTGTGTAGATAGAGGAAACTGTAAGTCTTACCTTACTAAGCAGGAAAGATGAAAGCTAGTAAACTGGGCAACCAACATAGCAAAGAACAAAGGAAAAGCAAAAGTATTGAATTATTAAAGTTAAAAACAGAAACTTAAGAATTTGAAAGAGTAATTTCTATTGAGCCAAGCTGTCTGTACTTTTTTTTTATTTATTTAAAGAGTTAGAGTTTCATTCTGTTACCCAGGCTGGATTGCAGTGGTGTAATCACAGCTTACTGTAACCTCAAACTCCTGGCTTCTAGTGATCCTCCTGCCTCAGCCCCAAAAATACTAGGATGATAGGGAGGAGCCACCACCCCAAGCCCAACATCTGTATTTTTAATAAGTCACCGCAGGCGATTCAGGTAAGCAGCCACACTTGACAACCATTGAGGTAGCATAACCTTGATCTCCAAATCTAACAAACATGCATTTAATAAACTGAAAAGTATAAATTACTATTACTTTATATATTTTATATATAAAATATAAATAATATTATTACTCATAAAACTATTATATATTTTTCAAAGTAACATAATATTTTATAAATATATAAAAAGAAAATATAAATATATTTTGTAAGTAATAATGTAATAATATATGTATTATATATGAAAATTGGCATTAAGACTAACAGTACATTCAAATCACAGAATAACATAATCAAGTAATTCTATTCAGGGATCAAAATAATACTTCAATAAGGAGATCATTTAAAATATTGAAATAGCTAAGAAATAAACTCATTATCTTCACAGATGCTGCTAAGCATTTATAAAGTTCATTATCCATTTCTCTAAAATTTTAAATAGAATATAAACAAGAAATTCCTGAATAGAAAAAAAATATCTACCTTGAAGAGACTGTACTATGATTCTTGGTTAAATACCAGAAGTATTTATTTTAAAGTCAAGAAAAAGATGAAGATGCCTGTTTTACTATCATTTTTAATAACCTTTGGAAGTACTAAACAGTATAATTAATTCATTATTCATTCTTTAAGTTAATGAATATTTATCGAAAGACTATTGTGTGACAGAATAAGAAGTATATATATAACAAAGGAAGAGGTAAAACAGCCATTATCTGTAGATGAGTTTATTGTTCACCTTCTGGGTTTCAAGCTTTGACCTGTGGGGGGCAAGTGAGACTTGTGGAGGGGCTGTTCTTGGGGCTACCAGAGAAAGGGGGAATTGACCAAGTAGGACAGTGAGCCCATCCCTCACTATGCCTCTCCACTCCACTCAAAACAGAGTTTTGGTCCATTTTCCTCCACTTTACATATTTAAGTAATCAAAAATTTATTAGACATAAAAAGATTCAACAAAGAACAATTTTTAATTCATACAGTAAAGTTAATAATCAACTATAAACAGTAAGAGAATATACTAGGGAAATAATATTACTACTAAATATAACCAAAATTAGCAAACACCTAGGGAATACACTTATTATGAAAATGTTTGGAACCTATTGAAAGAAAACTATA